TAACATAATCAACAGTTGCCTCTTTAGAGAGATGATCAGTGACAACATGAAGGTGATCCAGTGATGACAGGAGCACCCTCCTCCTCTTCATCCTCCTCTTCATCCTCAGTGTAGTGACGCGTGTGTGTGTGTGTGTGTGTGTGTGTGTGTCTCCTGCAGACAGACACATCTTCTCTTCATATAATCTGTGGGATTAGAGCCGCCTGTCTCCTCCTGGATGAGACGCACCTCCTCTGCGCTCCTGCGTCTCCATCCTCCACCGTCTCCTTTATAAACAGATCATGTCATTCATCTAAAAAAAACGCCCCTTTCTCCTCTCTCCTCCAGGCGGACGCCAGCGGAAGCCGCCGGAGCTCAGCCTGCGGCGCACACGCACCGTTCCCCCCGCTGACATTTGACGCAGATCCCGGCGTCACGCACGAAGAGGAGCCGGTGGGGGGAAGTGTCGGAGATGCCCGAACTACCTGTTTGCTCCCCGGGGCTGCAGGGCTGAGGGATGCCGCCTCGGTTTTACGCAGCGGAGGCTCTTTGAATCCGCAGCCGCACAGATTCCCACTGAGCCACTTTGCGCAAGTTGGAGATAAAACCTGTGACCGTGCATGTGCAGGATGAAGGTGAAGGGTGCCGAGCAGGCAGCGGTCACCCTGCCGGGAAACTTGCAGTGAGCCCGGAGGAGAGTTGAGGAAGAGGAGGAGGTGAAGAGCCAGAGCCAGAGGAGGTGATGTCCGGGTCTCTTCAGCTGGACCCCGGGCTGCTGCTGCTGATGCTGCTGCTGGTGATGATGATGGCCTGCTGGAAAACACCAGGGATGGTCGAAGCGAGTGAGTCAAACCTGAACTGTCTCTACATTTCTCATTTTCAATCAGGGATCTCATCATCTGGCTCCAGAGTTTAGTTCACACAGGAATGAGAAAGGTGTCTTTGTTCCAAATGTTCATTTCACATCATTCGTGAGCATCATTGAATATAAGCAGATTCAACGAAGAGAGAAATATGAGCACACATGCTAAAGCTGCATAAGACAAATACAAAAATGATCTCATCCTGTTACTAAGAATCAATCTGACTGATGCAAAACAGGAATAAAGTAGTTTAAAAAAGTAAATCTTCAGTCTATATGTTGGACAAAAAGTGTGTAATTACCCTTATTTTTCATTTTTAAACTGCTCAGTGTTTGTCTTCTTGTCCCTTATTCCTATTTTTACACCGATGTGCAGAAACAACTCTGAATATAAATCATAAATATAAGGAAATGACAAAGTTCAGACCTTGTTTTGCATTTTTAAGATGCTCAACCTATTTCTTTTTTCTCCCATTATTCCATTTTCACTACTCCCTCAATATAAATATCACAAACATGAGAAAATTACCATATTCAGGCTTTATTTTGCAGCTAAAATAAGATCCAAAAGTTTCATGTGAACCTGAAATTTGAGGGAATCTGTAAATTGATTGATTGATCGATTGAAGAAGCATGAACATGGAGCCTGGAGTGTAAACAACACGTGGCTTCAGTGAATAAAGGAGACAACAAGGTACCGAACTAATTTAAGAGGAGCTTTGCCTTGAAAATAAAAAAATCATCATCTCTGGCAAAGGTCGGGATCTTTTATTCTTCCCATCATCCCGAGCGTTGGGAGCACGACAGCGTTACATTAACGTATTGCTTCGTCTGTTGGGTTTGCTGTCACACTATTCACGTCTTTTGTTCCAAGCAGCAGTTGTAAAACTGTCAAAGTTAAATCGAGAGTCTATCGGGGGATTTGAATTTCAAAGCTCCCTCTCTGCTGTTTAATTAACTGTAGTGGGAAAGCACTGGCTCGTAAACCATCCGACCCTCCGCTCACATTCCTGCTCTCTGCACCTTTCACACCAGGGTCTGTGCAGTTCAGCCCCAGCAAACAAAACCCACGTGCGTCTCCTCGGAGGCCGATCTGTATTTACGAGTTATCGATTCGACCAATGAAGCGCGTGTTATATTTCCCTTCACCTTCTCTCCAGGGGCTCGTCAACGTCCTGCTGCCACCGCCTCTGGTTTTCAAAGAGGATTTTCATTCACGCAAAAAACAACTGGAGGCTTCGAGTTTAACTGTTAAATGAAATGAAAAACGTTGCCAGAGTAGCTGCCGGAGAGAAAGTGATGCTCACAGCAGTTCAGGATGCACTCATCTGATTTCAGAAGATTGATGCTGCAGGGAGATTTATGGAATGAGGTGGTGCCAACTGATCTTAACTTCACAAGCTCCGGCTCCAAATGTTTTATCGTTTATTAACTTCTCCAACAACTTTGGGACATATTTTGCTTCACCAAGCAGAAGAAGCTTTGACCAGCGCTCTGTCGGAGCAGCGGCTGGGACTCATCAACGTGAGTGGTCACAGATTAATGCAGAAAGATCTGAAAGAGAAGAACGCGGCATCGAACGTCTCTTTCAGTCTGCGGGGGGCCGATTGCGTGTCTGTGCCCAGGGGCCCGTTGTGTGTCCGGTGGTACTGTATCCCGATCAGCATGCACAGGTTGTTGCTGGATGTGCAGCCTCCACAGAGACGCACATCCATCACAGGGGGAGGCAGCAGGGAGCCATTAGCCAGATGAGACTGTCAAACTCCATCAGCCAACTGTTACTCTGCCGCAATTTACAGTCGAGGCGTACGTCACCCGCTACTCTACTCCAGGAGCAACCGCGTAAACCACGGCTGTCACCGGGTTGTTTTTGTTTTTGTGGCGGCGGAGGCCCCGTCACTGTGGCGTTGCTATAGGGACCGCAGAGGGAGGCGTTCGTGGATCTGACAGCAGGTTTGCTGGGAGCTTTTGTGCATCTCCTCGTATGAAATAAAGCAGATATATATAAAACACACATCTTTAATTGAAGCTCAGTGCCTGTTTGGAACGAGCTGTTCTCTTGGTTTGTGGCGTCGCTTGTTGTAATAGAATCAACTTCACACTTGACACTGAAAACATTTCCAGATTTTAAATAGAAAGAAGCTGTGGCGAATACGCCCACATGTTGGATGATGCAGGGCGAGTTATATGTTAATTTCATACGTCCTGAGATTTGTTTTTTTGCAAAGTTATAAAATCCTTAATGAGAGTGAACGTGAACCTTCGCGGTGAAGTGGCTTCATGTCCCTGTCCTGTGGTTTTATTGGCTGCGTGTGAAGGAAGTTAATATTTATCATATACTCTTACAGGAGGTGCATGAATCTCTTCATATCTGAAAAGTGTCGATAAGAGTGAAAGAGAGATGATACGTGAACTTAGAGTGGTGAACAGGGTGAAGGACAACGAAGGACATGTGTGTCTGTGCTTCTACATCCACCTGAACTGAGATATTTCATCACTTAATCAATATCCACATTCTCCTCCTCCACCCTCTCTCCATCGTGGGCTTTTTCTCCACCACTCCCTCCATCATTGATCTCCCCCCCCCCTCTCTCTCCGTCCATCCATCACACTTTGCCCTTCGTCCGTCTTTTCTCTCAAAACCAAAAGACTGAAAAATCCACTCGTCATCTCTTGATAGCCGCCCGAGATAATTGCTCTCTCTCCTCGTCCTCCTCATCCTTCTTTTCTTCTTCCCCCTCCGCTGTCGTATTCCTGTCATCTTTCATCCTCCTCCCTCTCTCCACTGTTTGCTCCCTCTCATCTCCGTCTCTCCTCCTCTGTCTTCCTGACTCGATCAAAGCCGCCCCTCTTATCTCCTGTGCTGGTGTGTGTAATGTAATTGCAGAAGTCTATTCAGCGTGCGCTGCGGCCGCGGCGGATGAAGGCGGTCGGGGGGGTTGAGCAGCTGTAACGTGACGGGAGTTTCGAGGGAATCTTGGCAGAGACGAGGGAACATGGTGTTGATGTGTGTCTCACTGTGTTTCTGTTTGTGTAGGTGGATTTCTGTGCATTTGTTTTCTGGTTGTCTAATTTCTCCCCCCCCCCCCCTGCTGGGGCCAAAAGTATGTGGACAGCATATGGAGATTTTAGGGACGATCATTTCCTCTTTCTCTCCCCAGTGAACAAATCCAGCTCCGTGTAGAAACCGTTTTCCCAGTTTGATGTGGGAAATTGGACTCGAGGGTCAAAGGTCGAGGTCATTGACCTTTGACACACTCGGGTGTTAGGGTTAAGTTTCTCTGGGCGTCTTCATACTTTTGACCCCAAAGTGCAGATTCTAGTTTCAGATCAGTGTTCAGACGTGGAGAACTCCCGTCAGGTTCTCTGACCCGAGGAGGACGAGCTTCTTTTCGCGGCCGCTACTTGACGCAGAGCTCGGCCGATTTCTACGCCTACAGGATCAGGAAATAGACCAGCATGCATTGCAGACACAGGACAGGTTGGGGTTTTATTTTTTTTTCTCAACTGCAAAAAACCTCCCACCTTCTTGCTCTTGTTGCCACGTGGCCTCGTTCACTTCGCCACCCACACGCGCTTGATGCAACGCTTTTAGAAGCTGTCAGAGTGCATTCTGGGAAGCGATGTTGTTGAAATGTATGGGGGGGGGGAGGCTGGCTTGCATAATGAGCTGTGGTTAGCTTGTTAGCCTGAGATGGAGCTTGACATTCACGGTCATCCTCCGCAGAGTCCTCGCTCTGGAATCAGGTTGTGTCTGTCACTGCTGCCGCCTCCACCGGCCCGGAAAGAGGTTCTCTTTGTTTTCTGCAGAGAGGTGGTGATGTCATTTTAGTTTTGAATGTCACTGCTCCTAACAAGGTGGCAGTCAGACGCACTCAGGAGGTAGAGCGGGTCGTCCACTTATCACAATGTCGGGGGTTCAGTGCCAATCTGAAGTGTCCTTGGCATTATTTCCCCTCGCCACTTTTTTACTTTTCCTTTGCCTGCAGAACATCGTTAATACGAGTGTCCTCACATTTACATCTGAGGGATTCCGCTGACTCCTTAATCCGAAGGGACTCACATTGACAGAGGAGACGGGTAAATCGTCCTCACCACTGTGTCTTGCTCAAGGACACGTGGACAGGATGTGGATGGGAACGTGGGCATGATGGAGTATCTGTGTGGATGTTGCTTTGTCGTTCAGGACGTCCAGGCCGGGAGCAGGACACTGTTCGGACCGGGGGAGATTTGTATATTAGCCAGGGAACATGAGCTGTCCTTAACAAACTGTCCTCTGTGTCTCCCACAGGACACAAAGTTGAGTGTTTAGATTTTGTTCAAAGTTGTTTCCTGCTTGAAATACAGGCATCTGGACGTACAACCATTAAAGTGGTAGTGAGCTTTTCTCTGTTTCCTTCTTTACTTTTCACTTTCTTCTTTTCTTTCTTGCTGAGATGAAAAAAGTCAAAGTGTAATTTGAAGTACACACACACTCACGAATATCAACGTGTGTGAAATCAACAGTGTTTAAAAATCCGCACCAAGCTTCCATGCACAAGTACAAGTAATTCACAGAAGTTTGAATCCGAAAACTCTTGAACCTCATTGTTTCTACTCATGTGAAGTTCTGTGTGACTTTGACTTTGACCCGAGGAGAGGCCGCAGGCTGACGTCCATTATTCATGTTGCTTTATTTATCTTTAATGGATCAATTTGCCTGAAGAAGATAAAGGTTGAAATCTTCTTTCATTTTCCTCTGGAGAAGAAACAGATGAAGTCCAGTGACAAATGTGGAGGAAGTTCTCTTACAAACCGAGACTGGACTCATTTTATACAGACGTCCCTGACTACTACTAACGTGTGTGTGTGTGTGTGTGTGTGTGTGTGTGTGTGTGTGTTACAGCTGTGCCAGCGGCCCCTGTGAATGTGTCGGTGACCCAGCTGAGGGCGCACTCAGCCATGGTGACCTGGAACGTCCCTCAGGGAGACACTGTCATTGGATACGCCATCTCGCAGCAGGTACAGTACTACAGTGTCATCACTTCCCATGTGTGTGTGTGTGTGTGTGTGAGAGAGAGAATATTTACTTTACTGGCAACTGAGCTCAAATATAATTTTTTTTCTTAATTGGTTTAATCCACAAAAAGCCTAGAAAATAATTTGCTCATTAAACTGAGTCAATCTTTCTCTCGCCACGTTCCCCCTGATCCCGCCTCTCCTCGCTCTGCGCTCTCATTTGGTTCGAGGCCAGTTCATTTTTCAGGGATGCTAATTGACAGGGTTTGAATTATGAATCGAACGCCCAGAAAACTTGGCTCGCCGTCGGGTTCTGGGTCAGAAAACGTCCAGAGCTGAATCATGTTCCTTTTCAGATCTGCTTTTATCTCTTTTTTTTTTTTTTTTTTTTTTCTCTGTTTCCTGCCGCTCTCGTCTGCAGGGGATTTTTAAAAGCGCTGCATCATTCACAAGGCCAGTCGGCAGTCAGCATTTTGCTCTGAGACACTTTGAGTCTCGACGGGTCGGACGTGGCTCCTTAAAGAAAAGGAAAGTAGCAGAAGGATGTGGTCGTAAATAGAAAAATTGAAATGCTTCCAGGGACTTTGAGCAATAATAATAATAATAAGAAAGAAAGGAAACAAATCTTAATATAAAAGTTTGCAGACAAAGGAAGGTGTGAAACTTTCTACGTGTCCAGTTAGTGAGGAAAAGCACAAAAACCACCACACAATCTTCATTTTGATTTCAAGTTAAACATGATGTCAACTGCAAATGTTCATCTGCAGATTCTGCATTTTCAGACGACCTCAGGTTTAACGCAGACGTTCCCCCTTTCCTCCCTCCCTCGGCTGCATCGCTGCAAAATGACGTTTCACATTAATTCTGCTCATATTTCTCCACGTCTCGCTCATCTCACGTCTCCTGAAGCCGAGGCTGCAGACTCAGCTCGCACTAATCACTTTTTACCACCCACAGTTTTGGCAAAAAAAGGAACAGACATTAGCTGAGCTCTGAGTGGGAGTCGTCTCCATTAGTGGAAATGATTTGGCCAGGACTCGTCTCGCAGGAGGAACATCTACAGGCGACGCCAGAAAAAGCTGGTTTTTCATTTCTCTTGTTTTTCTTTTTCTCCTTTTTATTTTAAAAGTTCCCTCACGTCTCCGCAATCCATCAACCTTGTGGCATTTTCTGGAAAAACAAGAGGATGTAAAACATATTCTGCCGTAACCCCAGAATGCACTTATGTAAAGTCCGTCCTCAAATGTGAATAGAGGGAGGAGGTGGGAGCAGGTGGATGCACGTTTTATCTCCTGCGCTCTGACTGTTAGTCATCAGAAGTCGCTGAGAAAGAAAGTGAGGAAGTGCAGTTGTATAAAAGCTCAGTCAAGCTTATCTGCAGCTTTTTAGAATAAGCAGCCGAGGTGGAGCTCGGGCAGATTATTCCACAAATCCAGCAACAAGCTGAGCCGCGTGTTTGTGAAGGAGAAACAGGGCGAAGGAATGTGCTCAAAGAGAAGCTCCACTCATCTGAAGTTGTTCCAAATCCCAGAGCTCCGGCTGCCGAGATTCACACATTATGCAACTCTCTCTCTCTCACACACACACACACACACACAGAGGAACTAACCCAATTTAAGATGCAACATGTGAAACTCCCAATAATCCTCATTCTGATCCATAAATCCCAAACGATGACATTGTAATTGACGTGGACGGACGTTAATGAAGTCGGTCCCTGCTGATTCTGCACAAAGTGTCTGTTTTGAAATCGAAACGACGTGAGATCTTCTCCTGCTGCTCTTCACCGCTGACATGCACGACCCTGCCGACTTCCCCCAAACTTAGCTGTGTAACCTAACTTCGTCCTCACCGTTGAATCTTTGTTCGTGGATTTGACTCTTTGCACTCGTCGGGCAGCTCTTCTCTACTCTTCTGTTTCCTCCAAACGATGATTTCTGCTGCTGAGCTGCCTTCAGACCTAATTTCTCCCAGTGGGGCAGGAAGTGCTGCAGCTGAATTTCATATGAGGTGAAGCTGCTTGTTACTGGAGGCTCGTGTTTGCATTTATAACATCAGAAACAAAGATTTCCCCTCATTAACATGCTAAATGTGTGTGTGTGTGTGTGTGTGTGTGTGCACTCCGTATACAAACACCCGTCAGGTGTCACGTGCACTTTCTTGTGTTTGTACATTTGTCTCCAGAGGCAGGACGGCCTGATGCAGCGCTCCATCCGAGAGGTGAACACGTCGAGCCGCTGGTGTGTGTTGTGGGACCTGGACGAGGACACACACTACAGCGTCCAGGTGAGAACACACACACACACACACACACACACATACTGTGTCTTCATGTTGTTTGTGTTTATATTTGCGTCTGATTCATGTTCACGTTTTTTTAAAACCTGAAGGAGACATTTTCTTTTTAATCTTTGTAATTTAGGGACGAAAGAATTCAGTCTGACATACGTACATCCTGACGTCTGTTGAACTTTTCATAATCCATCACAGCTCAATAGACCTCATCCACATTCCGTCCTCCAGCCGGAGGACTCGTGTTGAATGTGCTCGTCAGCAGGCAGATGTCCCGAGGAAGTGTCACAGAGCGCTGAAGTCTCGCCAGCATCGGGTGGGGGGGGGGGCTGAGGTTTGACCTCCGACCTCCCTGTGGACGGGAGGACAGTAAGAGGAAGGAGAGAAGTGAGGACTTCTGTGTGGACAGTTGAATGGTTTTCCAGAGGGAGAGGACGGATCAGGGAGAGGACCAAACTCCAGGACTTGAATATTTACTGTTGTCGCTCTGCCGTCGCTGCTTCAAACATCTGTGTTCTGCTCAAATGAGAAATTCTCCTTCAGACGTGTTGATTTCTTTCAGTTCTAAAAGATTTTCACTCCTCTCTCCTTTTATCTTTCGAGCCCCGACTCTGCGTCTTCTTTCCCAGAAACATTTGTCCTCCGCTGATTATCCAGGACTGCGGCCAAAAACAAAAGCTGGTTGCTCGTTAAATACACCCTCGCACGGCGTTACACAACGCCTCGCCCTCGGTCAATGACGGGCTCTCTGATATATCCTCAGTATTTCAGCAGCACTTTGTTGTTTGTCTTTATTTAGGTGCAGTCCGTCGGGCCGCACGGGGACAGCCAACCCAGCCGCGCCGTCCACTTCAGGACTCTGGAGAGAACTGACCATTATCCAGTCGGAGTCCTGGACCACCGTAAATACACCCAGTACACACAGTACACACTGTACACACAGTACACACAGTACACACGTGTGATTGTTGACGTTTGACGGAGCTGGATGTTGATTGGTCCTCAGATGAACCAGCGATGGAAGGTTTGGGAATGACTCCGCACCTTCAGACAGGAGAGCTGCTCATCATCACCACGGTGCTGCTGCTGTGGGCAGGTGAGCCGCCATGTGTGTGTCTGTGTGTGTGTGTGTGTGTGTGTGTGTGTGTGTGTGGAGGACGATAGGTTTTCTCATGCCACCATCATCACCACCTCCCCGTCATGAGGACATTGTCTTTCCTAGTTGTTTTGTGTCCCCTCTTGATCACGTTGAGTCTCTTTGTTTGATCTTGTCATCGTTTTGTGTCTCTCTGTTGTTGTCTTGTGTTCATTTGTTTCTTCAGTGTCTCCATGGCAACATTTTATTGTCTTTGTCATTGTCTCTTTGTGCTCATTTTCCTTCTGTTGTTGGTCACTTCGTGTCCCCTTACGTTCACGTCATGTCTCTTTGTGTCACTCTGAGGACGTTTTGTGTCTTTGTTGTCATTTTGTGACTCCACTGACTTCTTTTGTGTGTTTGTCTTTGTGCTCCAGCCGTCATCGCCCTGTTCTGCCGACAGTATGACATCATCAAAGACAACGACTCCAACAGCAGCAAAGACAAAGCCAAGCGGCCGCTGGTCCGCGCCACCTCCACCTACTACAACGCTTCGGCCGGCAGCTCGCCCGTCTACCACAACGGAGCCGTGCGCAGCAGCAGGGTGACGCATTCCTCCTCCTGAGCCTCCTCTCCGTAGTTTCAATGCACCTCTTCTCTATAATGCCGCGTCGTTCCAGGCTGCCAGAAATATTCAGTTTCCTCTGAAGGGCCCCTTGTTGTTTCATCAGAGGTCTCCTAGCAACCAGATCCGCCGTTATCAAAGCTAAATATAAAACCGCTCAGCTGGAAACGCAGAGCGAGCTGCAGACGCTCGTTTGGGTTGTTGCCGCGCATCAGTGGGAATGAGCAGAGTTGACTCTGCGGCTCTGTGAAGATGTTTGTTGTCACCTGGCTGCGAGGAAGAGCGCCGACCCGACGCCATGTGAACACAAACACAGCAGTGGATCAAACATCGGAAAACAGAAGAAGAGAAAAAGTTCCTCAGTTCCCCCGAGATCACTGAGGGAGAGAGTGAGAGAAGTCTCTGACATCACGACTGCAGGTTTCATCCGGTCCCATTGATGCTGCAGCTCTAATTTTAAAATACATAAATATTACAGAAGTTTTATCTGGAACATTTGAAAACTGTCGGTTCGGCTGCACAGGATGAATTTAGAAAAACATTTGAGAGCTGTGGGCGAAGATTAACTGAGTTTCAAATGCAACACTGAGCTTTTAATTGAATCTATTAGAAACATGTTCTCAACCATTAAAACACACAAAGCACCAAACACGATGAGCTTCCTCTCCGGCTGCTTCGCTAACGAGGAACGCCACCTCCTCGTTATCGACGTCCCCAAAGTCACTTGGTTCTAATTTCTTATATTTTTCAGCCAAAACACACGAAGCAATTAAACTTAAACTGAGTCCGATGGGACGTCTTCATGAATGTCCGTGCTGGTTGATTCTAAATCTTTTGACAGACGTAGGCCAGGGCACGTGGCGCTGCACGAGAACGTGAGCCGCACTCTTGTGAGGTTTATGAGTCACGTTCATGTTCTGTCTCTTTGTGCTTGTGACTCATGTGTTTGTTTCATCTCAGTGTCGTTGTCTTCTGGTTCCAGCTGCACAGAGCCTCGTCCTCCATCAGCATCATCAGAGTCTGAGGTGTGGATGCTGCCGAGACTCGGGGCGAGTGCCGCTCGAGACGACGTGCCGTGTTAGCCGCAGGAAGCTCGGCGGGATTATCCGGAGAGACGGAGAATTTCTGGGCCTGAGGGACGAGAGCGTGAGATTCAATGTAAAATATGAGGAGTGAGAAGCAGCTCATGCAAATCCAATTCAAATCAAGCGGAGGCGGCCCACTGTGGAGGAAGTGGAGGACCGCTGCCCTCCAGTGGCGGAGGACGGCAGCATCATGGGAACAGCAGGAGTTTGGCTTTGCCAGTCGAATATTTTCAGCTAATTCTCCGATAATGTTTTTCTTCATAAGACTTAACGTGAACATTTGGCAGCATGTCGCCCACGATCACCTCAGAGTTACCCTCCATACACTGTGTGTGTGTGTGTGTGTGTGAGACCATTGTTACTCTGTGATTTCTATTTCTAATTCATTCTCAATAGTACTAACATCACAGTCTGTATTATATGTAAGTAGAATCTGTACATACAAGTAATTTAATAGTCATTTCAACAAACAGTTGAATGTTGAAGGTTGAAGGTACGAACAAACGAACAAAACCGAAATTGGCTCAATTGAATTTCATATCATGATGTCGAAAGGCTGTAATCATGAAATTATAGCCAATCATCATCAGTTAATTAATTGAATGTAATTACTCTAGAAATTGACTGGAGTTGATCTCATCATGCAATAAACTCCACACCAGAGTCATTTGTGGAATCTAATTTAAAATCCAGTGATTTCCTAACATATCCGAAGGTAGATTTGATATTTTTGGACGGAAATATTATAATAAATGTAGATATTCAAAAGACTAAATTTATTTCTTGCGAATTTAAAAAGAAATTGCAGTTTTCTGAAGGACGACAACCTGTAGCTTTGTTTTGTTTTGTACACTCAGGGTTATTTCAGTCTTTTGTCTGTGGAACACTTTCAGTCAAATCCCTTTTCACTGTGTCTCTGAGGGGATCAAGGATTTTCTTTGTGCGTGTATTCTCCTGTTTCAATAAACTCACCAGACCGTTATGGTGGTATTACAGTAACAACATGTACATATACACACTGTGCTGAAACCTGCACACACTCTACACATAATACTATAGTAGTAATTCATTAGAAATAGTGAGTCACGTGTTATAGATACCACCATTTGTGTCAGTGTTGAAAGTCTCATGTCTCATGTGTTGTTCATCTGTAACTGAGTGTTTAACATGTGTGACAGTACGTGTAGTGGACAGCAGATGGCGCCAGAACTGTGAGAGACGATGGACAGAAGACAGATGTGTGTACATGTGCAATGAAATCAGATTTCTGTAGAACTGAATTCATCAAATGCAGATTTTTGTTCTGAATATTTACTCTTTGAATGTACTGCATTGTACTGCATTGTACTGCATTGTACTGCATTGTACTACATTACGTCTGTTTTATAAAGTTAGCTCCAGAGTGAATGGGAACAGATCTTTGGACCCTTAATCTGTGATTACATGTGAACTTATAGTTGAACAAATATCGTTTGTTTGCAAATTAGAATGAAAAGTGTATTTAGTGAACAT